AAAATGCATCTTCGTACTCCTTGTTGGAGCCTTCAAGTTCGCTGTCTAAATCCCAATGTAGGGAGTCTATAGCCGCCCAGCGGGCTTGCAAGGTTCGTAATATGTCATCGAACTCCCACTTTTCCGAAACAGAAGCCAAGTCTATGTTGCTGATTGTACGCTGGAATGCTTTGAAATTATTGCTTTGTTTTTTCAGCATATCTTCAGTTTTACTTGCCGTTCCTCTTGATGACGTTTGAGGCTGTTGTCTTTCGTTGGACTTACCCGTGAACGTTGGCGGTTTCAGGATAGGCGTTGCTGGCCTATCTGCTGCTATAGGCTGATAATTGAGCGAGCGGATACGAAGTGAAACACCGTAGAAGAAATACAATTCGTATACTGGCAATAATAATCGAGATATTAACAATAATTGTGTTGGAAAAGACGGAAGGACGAGTGACGTGGAGTTGTGAGCGAGGCGATTCGTAGCACACTGCGCTGCCGGCCAAGCGACTGGGAGCAGGTTCCAGACCGGTCCGCGTCTCCGGCATACCGCGCCCCGCGACATACGCGTTCGTGACGTAGCCGCTGTTAGTGATGAATGCACGACGACGCGTAGTGATGTGCCACACCGGGTCCCTGGGAGAATCAAAACCCTGCGGAAAAATAATGAGGGAATTTAACATGTCGCCCCGAACGAGTAGTTTTGACAGGTTCGGGCTCAGGGCGACTTGTAGGATTATTTGGTGGTGCATTTTTCGCGTCCGTCAGAACGAATGCTGGTTTGGTTTTGTCTATTGAAACGGTAACCGGTCCTCTATTCAATTCAACAGTTACTGTTTTCTCTGTCCGTTTCAAAACTTTATGAGGACCACTATATGGAGCTTCCAAAGAACCACGTAAAGCATCCTTTCTGAGGAATACGTACTGTGCTGTTGGTAAGTCTTGGTGGACAAAAATGGTTTTCTGACCATGTCGCGATGCTGGCACTGGCTTCAAGCGTGATATGTGAATGCGCAGATTTGATACAAAGTCTGATGGCTGAGGTAACTGGGAGTTATTATAATGAAGGAACTCACCAGGAATCCGAAGAGGCTCACCATATACCATCTCAGCAACAGAGCATTGCCTGTCGGATTTCCAAGCAGTACGCACTCCAAGGAGTACTGTAGGCAGTACGTCTGTCCATCGTGTAGTCTCGTGGGCCATTATCGCAGCTTTCAACGTCCGGTGGAAACGCTCCACCATTCCGTTCGCCTCTGGGTGGTAAGCTGTGGTATGACGCAGTCGAATTCCGCAAAGATCTGTCAAAGATTTGAATAAATGCGAATTAAATTGACGTCCTTGGTCAGTTGTCACAGTTTCCGGACACCCAAAGCGTGTTACCCAAGCATCATAGAAAGATACCCAAGAATCATAGAAGCATTTAGCTACGGATTCAGCTGTAATATTAACAAGTGGTATGACTTCTGGCCATCTGGTAAACCTATCCACAGCCGTAAGACAGTATCTAAAGTCATCGGACGGTTGGAGTGGACCTATCAAGTCAATGTGTATGTGACTAAATCGGTGGGCAGTTAATGGAAAGTCAGCTGTGGGAGAAGAGGTATGTCTCTGTACCTTAGATCTCAGGCATGTTATGCAACTTCTTACCTAATCACGACAGTCTTTTTTCACAGAAGACCAAACAAATCGGTCGGTGATGAGTTTTGTAGTGGGCTGAACTCCAGGATGGCTCATGTTGTGAGCATTGTCAAAAATAGAACGGCGCAGCTCCTTCGGAATGTATGGACGGGGTCTTGACTGAGAAATGTCACAGTAAAGGGTAATATCCGTACCTGGTACTGGAACTTTCTGAAGTTTCAAAGAAGAAGAATTATTTTCCAATAGCTCACGAACTTCTGGATCGTTATGCTGCTTCTGTGCTATCGTTTCAAAATCAGGAGGGATAGATATTACCTCTACACGAGACAATGCATCAGCAATTATATTTTCTTTGCCCGAAATGTGCTTAATGTCTGTGGTAAATTGGGAAATAAAATCCAAATAATTGAACTGCCTTGGGGAACATTTCCGATCTTTTTGCAGGAAAGCATAAGTAATAGGCTTGTGGTCTGTAAAAATTGTAAAGTAAAAGTTGTAAAGCCTTCTACTAAATAGCGAAAATGCTTAACGCTTTCATATATTGCAAGCAATTCACGGTCATAAGCACTGTACTGCTGCTGAGCTCTGTTTAATTTTTTTGAAAAGAAAGCTAACGGTTGCCAACTACCTTCTACTAGCTGTTGTACTACGTTAGAAGCGTCCGTTACAAGCGCAAGCGATGCATTATGCAAAGGATGTGCTAAAAAAGCTGACCTGAAGAGACTTGCCTTACACGTTTCAAATGCAGACAGCTGTTCTGGTGTCCAGGTCAACGGTTATGAACTCTTGTTCTTTCCTCCAGCCAACATGTTGTGTAGCGGTGACTGATCTTCCGCAGCATGAGGAATAAAACGCCTATAAAAATTTAGCATTCCTAAGAAACGCAACAGGCTTCCCACAGTCTTGGGTGGGGGAAATTCCTGGATCGCTGCTACTTTCTCCTCCGTAGGCTTTGTACCCGATGCAGAGATAGAGTAACCAAGAAATGTTACCTTAGTCTGGCCAAAACTGAACTTAGCTTCGTTGACGAGGATCCCATATTCTTGTAGGCGGCTAAAAACCTTCTCCAGGTGTTCCAGGTGCTCGGAATTATTTCTGGAAAATAGAATTATATCGTCTAAATACGAAAAGCAACCATCTAGATCTCGAAGAACCTCATCAATAAACCGTTGGAACGTTTGAGCTGCGTTCCTCAAACCAAACGACATAAACGGAAACTCGAACATTCCAAAGGGGGTAGTTATAGCCGTTTTGGGTATGACGTCCTTGAAAACTGGTATGTGATGATAAGCTTTCACGAAGTCTATTTTTGAAAATATTGTGCAGCAAGCTAACCGATGTGAGTAATCCTGGATGTGAGGTATGGGATACCTATCTGGAATCATTCTGGCATTGAGAGCTCGGTAATCGCCACATGGTCTCCAGCTGTCTCCCTTCTTGGGTACTAAATGAAGAGCTGAAGCCCAGGGTGAGTCAGAAAGTCCAGCTGTGCCATCTCGAAGCATCTCCTAAAATTGTTCCTTAGCTATTTTCAAGCGATCTGGCGCCAAACGTCGAGGCCTGCAGTAAACTGGGGGTCCAGGCGTAGTGCGGATATAGTGCACCATATTATGCTTGACTTCGCGGAATACACCTGGTGGCTTTGTCAGCGATGGGAATCTAGCTAATAAAGTGTGGTACTCACTTTTACCCGCGATCGCCTTGATACTATGCAGCTGACAGGGTTTACTCGTAACAGCCGTTGAGAGGGTAGTTAGACTATCTAATAAACGACCATTCTTACAATCGACCAGCAATCCATAATGAGCGATGAAGTCCGCCCCTATGATAGGCTTGTCCACATCGGCTACTACGAAATTCCACGAAAAGTCGCGGCGAAGTCCCAGGTTAAGACGCATCTTCATCAATCCGTAAGTGCGGATGCTGGAACCGTTGGCTGCTGTGAGGCTGTAATCAGTAGGTGTTACATATGCACGTAAAAATCTACGAGGCAAAACACAAAGATCGGAGCCAGTGTCGATTAAATATTGAATTTTGCTTTCTTTGTCAGTAACAAATGGGCGACGGGTAGTTGCATGACAGTCGACTGTCGCCATTACTGACCTGAGTTTTCCTTATAATTGCAAGGATGGATACATTTACTAGCCTTCTCAGCAAATTTGTAATGGTACCAACACATACCCGACTTCCTAATCTGACCTGGTCCGGCGCTTCTAGATCTACTCCTTGACCTTGACCTACTAGACCGCCTCCGGAACGACTGACGACCATGCCCTGTATCTATATTCAATTGGGACAACTGGTGGCTTAACTCTGTCTTAATGCGTGACGAAATCATCTCCATTAACCGTTGAAACATTCCTTCCATACTATTCGATGAAGTACTAGCAACTTGATTGGGGGTAGGAACAACGTCATAAATTTGATCAGCAAGAACGGCAACCTCATCGAGACAAGTAGCTTTTTGTGACGCAATAATAACTTGAATATGCGTTGGAAGGCGACCTGACCACAAGCTGCGTAAAAAATCGTCACTAACACCATCCCCTGCTAAAGCTCTAAGGTGGCGCAAAAATTGCGACGGCTTGCGATCACCTAACTCCTCATGAGTAAGCAATTGACGCATACGATATTCCCGGGAAACCGAAAGACGACTAATCAGTTCCTGTTTCAATTTCTCGTATTTGCCGGTCGACGGTGGGTTTGTAATTATGTCCCGAACCCCCCGTGCGCTACGTTGATCTAACTCACGAATCACTTGAAAAAAATTCGTACTATCACCTTTTATTCCCGTGCACGCGAACTGAGCTTCAACCTGCGCAAATCATATTTCGGGATCTTCTGGCCAAAATGCGGGCAAACGTAAAGTAACTCGGTCCACTGCACTAGTATCTTCACCGCTCGCGTCCTTAAATTCTTGCGCGACGTCAACGCTATCGCTACGAGGCGGATTCATTATAACAACGCAGGCAAAATAACAAGACGCGCAGAAAAATCAAAAGATTAAAAGCGTATTGAATTGGAGTCACCACTGAGGATGTAATGTTACTATCCCTACAAATAGCGAGCGGATACGAAGTGAAACACCGTAGAAGAAATACAATTCGTATACTGACAATAATAATCGAGATATTAACAATAATTGTATTGGAAAAGACGGAAGGACGAGTGACGTGGAGTTGTGTGCGAGGCGATTCGCAGCACACTGCGCTGCTGGCCAAGCGACTGGGAGCAGGTTCCAGACAGTGTGGCCAACAAGTCGGGACCTGGTGTCGCCCATTTTGAGAGCTTGAGTAGCCTAAAGTAGCCGAATTTTAAATGAGATAGCCTAAAGTAGCCCAAACTAAAATAAAAGAGTTTTTTAACAATTTATTTATTTATATACACTCCGATTCTGCTTCATCTGCTGCGAGCAATAGCAAAGCATCTAGAATAACTTCGCCGTCGTCAACATTTACTGTGGATGCTGTGCTAGTGCTGGCGCAACCTCTACTTGAATCGTACATTTTCCTTCCTGCATGTAAACTTATCATGTGATTACTTGGTTCAAAGTTGTTACAGCAAATGCTTCTTACATTCATATGTGTACGAATTCTTAGAATAGAGATCAGCATGGGTAATTGCATTCTATTTCTTAATTTTGTCTTTATCGTACCCATCACACTGAAAATTCTTTCAACGACTGCATTACTTAAAGGTAATGAAAGACAGCGCAAGGAAAACTCCGCCAAATCTTTGAATATGGGATCGCCTCCAGCATTCTGCATTTTCGATACCTGTACCCAGAAATTTACAATATCATTAGGAGAAGCAGTGCCAATTATTTCCTTTATTCGCATCGTACTTAAAGTGCGAAATTGGTTAATTGTAGATTCCTTGTCAATATTAGGTTCTCCGAACTGCCAGGAAAAATCATCAATGTTAGGTTTGTTGCTGGTTGAGAGGCAGCGGTTGGGTGACAAAACATCAATTTTTTCTACCACCGACACATTGACTGGTAACCTGTCAACTAATTCCTTCACTAAGCGCACAAGAAAGTTCGTGCATCGCTGTTTGACTTCTTTGGCTTTGTTGGCAGAAACAGATCTTTTTGCAAGTAATTCATTGAACTTTTCTCCAAAATCAATGGAGTCCTGTAGAAGCAATGAATTTTCAAATGGTGCTTCGGCTTTTTCTAAAGCTCGCCTAACAGCTGCTATATCCGCTTCATGAAGCATAGCCAATGAGCGTTTTCAGACAGACTTTGACCTCTCAAAAATACTGGTTTAAATAGACGTCTTGCAATGGACAGAAGAAGAATTCGAAGGTCGTTGTATACTTTAGTTATATTTGCATTACTTGCTTGAAATATAACATTCACATTTGTTACTTCTTTTAGTATAGGACATAAAAACAATAAATATAATAAATTCGTGTCATCATTATACATGGCAGCAAGCTCCCTTGCTGTGTAACATCTCTCTTCTGACGATTTAATCATATTAAAATGAGTTTTTAGCTCAAGCCACTGATTGATGTTTGTATTAACAGCTGCATAAAATGCCAACCATCTAGTTGCAGACAATTGAGTTAGTTTCAAGGGCTTTTTGCCATCATTAATAGTTTCAAATAAGTTTTCATAGACTTTCATTCGCAAAGGACTGTGAGCAAACCAATTTCGGGTTTCCCTAATTAAATATTCCAGGCAAGATGGTAATTCGGTGCACGCTTTGGATGCACACAAACTAAGGGAGTGGCACACGCACTTCAACAACTGCAAATGGGGTAGGTCTGCTTTTAAAAGAGTGAAAAGGGAGTGATTTTTGCCACAAAGATTACTAGCTCCATCTGTTCCTATGGCGATGAGATTCTGAATATTTAAGCCCATATCAGATAAATAGTACATTACGATACGCGTGACCTCGCTCCGCTCGGGCGCTAACTTCACGCCGTGCAGTAATAGACAACTTGGCCACAAGTATCGTATACTATTTTATAGCAAGTGTGACATAAACCCGCCCCGGACGCGGGCAAGAGGGGGGGGGGGGGGGGGGGGGGGGGGTGGTTGCGATTAGTGTTTTGAAAGTAAAATTCATGTATTGCAATCACAAAGAATTGCAATACAGACTGCAAGTCAAACTCTGAAAAGAAAGAATTCCGGTTCAGATTACCATTTTGAAAGTATATTTCAAAAGGAAAAAATCAAATGTCATTACAACAAAATAGAATTTCAATGTATCCATGAACGTTTATTCCTTGATTGGCATAGTAAAGTTACGCGTATCGTAATGTACTAATTCTACATGAGTGAAGTTGGTCAATTCATTTACACACCGTGCAGAAATAGGCAACTTAGGTCACGGAAAAGCGTGCGTAAAGTGCGGGTTTAGGTCACACTGTGCTATAAAATCTCTTAAAGGATGTATACAGGTCATCAGCTGTTGCTTGGAACACTTCTTGAAAGCCTAAATAATCTACAACAATTTTTTCTAGTTTTTTATTGTAGTATCGGATGCAATACGCCATGTACTTTACTGTTGCAACATCAGTGGATTCATCCAGTATTATAGAATAGCTTTGCCCACCAATTTCTTCTAACAGTTCTTTAAGCATGGCTGGTTCAACGACATTCTTTATAATGGCAGAGCACTTTGTTCTGTGTAATTGTATATTTTCAAGAGGACTACCTATACCACAGGTTTTCAAAACTTCTGTCAAATGATCTATGCTACGGATGGAGCTATGAGCAGCGATATATGTAGAAATTTTTATGTCCATTATTTTTTCTTTGGTTGAAGTGTCTTTAACTGAAGAGTAGCCAAATGATGCAAGTTTGGGTTGTGTTTTTGCAAATCTTAATTCCTTGTCTTTATGTGTTTTACTTTTCATGTGCTTTTCTAAATCAGTTTTGTGTGCACGGAGTGGTGAAACACATAATTTCTAAAGGTAATAAAGGTCAACGGAGCATGTAATGTTTTGCTATTCATCATTCGCATTTCTTTTACTTATATAGCAAGAAAAAGATCATTTGTCACTATTGCAAGAAGCCTGGACACGTTAAAGCTAAATGTTTTAAATTGAAACGCGATAAGAAGTCTGACAAGTCTGAAGAGGCTTTGCTTGTGTCGGCATTCTCAGCGTGTTCCTCGGATGACTGGATAATTGATTCAGGTTGTACTTCCCACATGTGTAATAATAAAAATATTTTTGTGTCATTGGATTGTAACTTTTCAAGTAAAATATGTGTTGCTAATGGTGAAAATTTAAGTTGTATGGGTATAGGTACAGTAAAAGTAAATATTAAGAATAGTAGCATTAAAAAGATTGACAATATTATGTATGTACCCGGTTTGTACATCAATTTGTTATAAGTTGGTCAGCTCATTGGCAAGGGTTTTCAAGTTACTTTTAAGAAAGATTTGTGCCATATTTCCAATAGTAAAAATAAAGTGGTAGCCAGGGCATCTAGGAGGAAAGGCGTTTTTAGGTTAGATTGTGTCCAACAGATAAGCACCCACAACATTGTACAGAGGAGTGTGGAGGAGCAGCAAGGAGCTCATGCTGCTAGTTCCACTGATGCCATATTGTGGCATAAGAGGCTGGGTCATCTGAGCAGTGCAGGTATGTGTAAGCTGTTAAATTTATCCAGTGGTCTATCATTTAATCGAGCAAATTGTGATTTGACAGACTGTGAAGCTTGCAGTCAGGGGAAGCAAACAGTTAAGTCTTTTCCTGTAGGTAATGCAAAGCGTACTCGGAGACCTCTTGACCTGATACATTCGGATGTTTGTGGCCCTATACCAGAGCCTAGTTGGGGTGGTGCTAGATATTTGGTGACATTCATTGACGATTTTACAAGAAAAACTTTTGGTTGTCCAATTAAGAATAAAAGTGATGTTATGGATTGTTTTATTAAGTTAAAGGATCTAGTTGAAAAGCAATTGGGTTTGTCAATAAAATGTTTAAGGTCTAATGGTGGTAGTGAATATTGCAGTGCTAATTTAACCAACTATTTGTCTAGTCAAGGCATTCTACATCAGGTGACTATGCCCTACAGCCCACAACAAAATGAAGTTGCGGAACGATTGAATCGTACTCTCATTGAGGTCAGGTGTATGCTTATACAAGCAAATCTGGGCAAGCGCTATTGGGGAGAGGCTGTGATGACAGCAATTTATATTAAGAATAGGTCCCCTACTGCTGCAGTGCCTGACACTACACCTGAGGAATTATGGACTGGTCAAAAAGTTGACTTGAGTCACTTGAGAGTCTTTGGGTGCCGAGCTTTTGCTCTAGTACCAGATTGTCTTCGTCGCAAATTAGATGCAAAGTCAAAAGAATATATTTTTGTGGGGTACTGTGAGAACTCTAAAGGTTATAGATTAATAGATCCTAGTAATCCAAGAAAGATTTTATGTTCTCGAAATGTTCACTTTATTGAAACCAACTGTGATAATCATAGTAATATCTATGAAATTTATACATTTTCAAATAATAATAATATTAATAATAAAATTGAAATAAATGCTTCTAGTCAAAGTAATGAATTGTGTAATGAGGATGTTTTAATTATTCCAGTGACGGAGCCTCCTCCTGGACCTAGGCCCCTCAGTGAGAAAGAGTCTCCTCCTGTATGCATGCAGCCAATGTCGAATGATTCTCTACATGAGGCAAGATGTAGTGATTCTGATGTAAACACATCTTTAGAATTTGATAGTCCAGTTAATTTCGAATCTTGCAGTGACTCTGATGTCGACAATAATGCTGTGACTGTGGAGCCACCATGTCAGCAGCGTCCAGTGATATCAACAAGGTTGCCTAAAAGGTATGATGATTTTGAACTGTCTTTGTTTTCTCAGGTTCATCTGTTTCATGAGCCTGAATCCTATGATGATGCATTGGCTAGTCCTAATAAAGTAGAGTGGGAAAATGCTATGAAAGCAGAGTATAATTCTCTTATGCAAAATTGTGTTTGGACATTGGTGGACAGGCCAGTTGATAGAAACATTATTAAATGTAAATGGGTTTATAAGGTCAAACAAGACACTTCAGGATGTTTTGACAGATTTAAGGCACGTTTAGTTGCTCGAGGGTTCAGTCAGGAACCAGGGGTGGATTATGACAAAACATTTGCCCCTGTTGTACGGCATTCCACCATGCGTATTCTTTTCAATCTTGCTAACAAATTGGATATGGACATAAACTATGTAGATATTGTAACAGCTTTTTGGAACGAAAGTTCCTTACGGCAGGCTTGGAGGGGATAGGGATTTTGCTGCGCGACCAAACTGAAAAAAATGTGATAGTAAAACCGTAAGAAAAAAAAATGGGTGCGTGTACTTATGTAGGCGCGTGAGAAGTTATCCTTCTTTGGCATCGTTTAAAATTAGTTTTTAATTGCATGCAAATAATTAATTACAATAAATTAATAAAAAGTCTGGAAAAGGACACAGTCAATAAAGTTCAGTTTTAATTTGAAAAAATAAATGAATAATCAAAATATTCAATTAAAATCGCTACTGAATATAATTTATTAGAACATATGTGATTTGCACTTGTATGAAACTCAAACACGTATTCCGAATATACAAACTAGAAACATGTGGATAAATATTATACATATGAATACCTATAACTGTTACTTTATTACAAAAAATAAAGATGTGGTTTTTGGTTCTACTACACCAATGGTCAAGAGATGGCGCTGTAGTCTCCTGAATCGCGCTTTGGTTCCGTTGTTCCAGATTAATAAATACTTTTGATATTATAAATATGAATACCTATAACTGTTACTTTATTACAAAAAATAAAGATGTGGTTTTTGGTTCTACTACACCAATGGTCAAGAGATGGCGCTGTAGTCTCCTGAATCGCGCCTTGGTTCCGTTGTTCCAGATTAATAAATACTTTTGATAGGCCTTCACAATGCAGTCGTTAGCACCCACCAAATAGAGATTCTATTTCTATTTTGTTGGTAGATTTTCTTAATGTGCGGTAAACACAAAAGTAACAGCATGAAGTTGGTCGCTAAAGCGAAGCGAAGGCGTTAATTTTTGTGTTACAGTGATGCGCGCGCATCTTAAAATTTCACTCTCATCATTTTTTCATAACGCGCCTAAAGAAGTATAACTTCAAAAATGCGTGGAATAAAACCATTAAATGAGACGTGCGCATAGGGGGTGGTAGAGCGACGAGGGTGCATCACTGAAATATTTTGATATTACACCAACACTGAATA